AAACTAATTTTATATTATTAAAAAGCTTAGAACTTCCTTATTAGTAGGTTATTTAACGAGGATCGTAATTGTGACTATAATTGATAAATGTTATAGTAAAATCTATATAATTAGATTAAAGTATCTTTGTTAAGTTATTTATTACATATATATCTACTTTTTTACCGTGGCTAATCAGTAATCACTGCTAATCATAAATTTTGGCCTGGTGGTGGGAAAAAATTGGCCTTTTTAATTGTTTGCACACCCTTAAAAAAAACTGAAATGGTGCCGTTGTAGTGCGGTAGATTCTCCACTAGCAGCCCACTCTTCGGCCGCCACGGCAGCACGATCACCTCCGTACGTTGCCCGTGGTGGCACAATGACAGCCGCTAGCTCTCTTTCATGCGAACCTCCGCCAAAACCGGTTGAACCGTTCGCGACTTGTGGTAAAAAAACGCTCGTTGTTGTCGGCCAAGCACACTGTTGTCGGGCCATTGTTTTATTTTATTATAACTAACTTATACTAGTGTTTGTCTTTCGCGATTTGTTCAATAAATCCTATTAACGGTTATTTATATTCCACATCGTGTGTTCTTCTTTTTATACCTCAAACATTGATTAAATATACTTGTATATTTAATCAATGCCTCAAAGAATTTCGGGAAGATTTGGTGGTAATCTCGCAACAAATTACAGATTAGTCATATATATATATATATATATTTGTATATAATCTATGGCAGCAGTTCCCAAAATTTTTTGATTTACGTATCCCTAAAACAAAAACATTTATTCAAGTTTTCCACGGAGAAATAGGTAACATAACATTTTTTTTATTATTTTTATAAAAGCAAATTAATGTCGATATTAAAATAAATATATGATAGCATATTACAGTGGTTCCTAAACTATGCACCGCAGTGCCCTAAGAACACCACGACCACTATCTAAGGGCTCCATAGTCTACGGTTCATAACAAATAGTTTAAAGTGCTTAAAATTGATTTTTCCTTATTGTTTTCGTAAAAACTTTATAGCAAATAATGTAATATTTTTTATTGTGTAATCGGATAATGTCATTTTAACCATATAATATTTATATATAATAATTATAATCATTATAACAATAATTTTTAGTTATCTATTTTTTAAGTTTAAAAGTGCATTAATTTATAACTAAGTAAAATTTTATTAAAATTAATAAAATCGGTTATCAATAAATTTTTTTTTTTGTTCTTTCTTTAATGTTATTCACAGCCAGAGCACCGTGGTTTGATTGTGTTCAAAAAAAGGCACCGCGGAAAAAAAAGTTTGGGAACCGCTGGTATAATATACAATATAAATATTTGACTTGGGCTTTCCATAATAAATGGTTCCGCCTCCTTAGAAAGTCACGCCTCACACTTTAGGAATCACTGTCTTATGATAATATCTGATAAAATTATTTTCATGAACAGTTACTGAAAAGCTGGGCTTACACGACGCGAATCTGATGCGCGAGGCTTGATGCGTGAGTGTAGATTCGGCATATTTCGCCCTGTCTGATCTTGCCTCAGGTAATAAGCAAGTCAAGCGAGGATGCCTCGTGGCAAAACGGAAGCTTAGTCGGTATTTGGATGCGCGTCAAAGAAGATTCGATTCACATCGTGTGAATTACTTTTTTGAACGTCTTGCCTAGCACGTAGCGCCATGGATCAAAATCAATGTTTTCAATTTATTGAGTTGCTTCATTGTTGCCTCGCATAAACTGGGGCTCCCCTGAATCACATGTTTTCGTGCATAGATACGTATCGTGTAAACATTTAGGTGAATTAGATGTCTCGCGAATCTTGCCTCGCGCATCAGATTCGCGCTGTGTAAACCCGGCTTAATACAAACATCGCAAACAACTTTTTTAGGATTTTGAACAACAAACTTAATAGACTTAATAGTAAATAATAAAGAAATAATAAGAAGTTTACAAACTACGAGTATATTACTGTTTACAGTAGACAATGTACTACGAATTTATTTTTTGAATTGTAAACTGTGAGATTACAGGTACTGAAACATTTCACAACAGTTCACCAAAGAGAATAGTTAATTTGAACTATTCGTTTACCAACTTAATATCTAAGATTATAATATAATATTGAATGTTGTAGTAAAACCATTGAGATAAAGAATACTCTGAAGCGCGAAATCCTAAACAGAAAACAAACTGCTGCACAGTAGTCTGAAACATCAATTTAGACCCCATGTTTGAAATGTGAATTTTTTAATTTTTTTTTTTTATGATGTATAAATATACATTCCTAAGGAACCTTAATACGGAATTTGAAGTTCTTATGTATATATAAATCAACGGGACTTACATAGTTTTTTTTTTACATTTTTTATGGTATTTTACGCTATTTTATTGAAATATTTATTCTTTATCATGTATTTTTTTCTCGATTCAATATTTATTTTTTAAATGTTTTAATACAATTAATTTAAAGTTCAATTTCTTCAAAATAAATGACAAATATAGTTATGCACATTTAAAATTATTTTTATTGTTTTTAATTTTGATAGACTGCTATCTGTGGGTGAATGTTTCAACCATTTAATGCTTTGTTGGAGATTGTTTGGTAATTAATTTGTTTTTTTGACCACCATTTTTTTCAAATGATGGCCAGTTTGGTATTTTTAGGTTCCATCTTTTGTTTTTGTTTTTACTTGTGTCTCCCTTCAATGGGATAAAGTTTATTTTGATAGGTCTATGGTCACTGCTTAATAAATTATATAAACGGGGTAGTACTTTCCACTATAATCTATGTAATATGGATGGGGGACAGAGGGTTAGATCTAGGCAGGATAGGTTTCTATTTGCTACGGTCAGTGGTGTATATAGAAATAGTTTTCACTATGGGCTAATTTTTTTATGAATACATAATTTTTTAAAAATAGTGTATAAAATAGTGTATAGTGTATTACCACTAGTTGAGCATGATTCTTTATCACTTTATCAGCTATTTATTATAAAAGTACGAACAAGAAATTAGTCATTATATAATATTTTATTATAATAATATTTTTATTTTTAGGCTTTAAATCATAATTAAATAATCATATGACGTATAAAAATTAAAAACAGTATTTGAAAGACCTAAAATGTTTTCACCTAAATTTTCACTATAGGCCATGGCCCATATGTCCCCCTATATACGCCACTAACTACGTGTATGTGAGTGGGTCTTGAATCATTTAATAACACTAAATTATTTATTTCCAGCAGTTTTTCGATTGTTTTACCTCTGAGGTCATTTTTGTCGGAGCCTCATAAAATGGGTTGTGTGCATTGAAGTCGCTGAGTATTATTAATGGTGTGAGAAGTTGTTGAATGATTTGCTCGATGTTGGCATCGATGCATTTTTTTGGTTTGGAAGATATATAATACAAATTTTAAATTTTTCTTTAGGATTAATTTGAACAGCTAATTCGAGTTCTATTTTTTTTTAAAGAATCATTTGAGCTTCCATTGGATAATATTTAAGTTCGTGCCTGTCATCATGAAATTATAGATGTGTTTTTTGTTTTGATTTGATAGTTGGTATTATTTCTCTGGTGCCAGATGTGGTTCAGATTCCACTTCTAATGCTTTAAATAATTCGTTTGTTATTCGGGTAATGTTGTTTTTTGTTTGAGATTTGTTGATAGAAGGTCTTTGTTTTTTATATTTTAAGAATGTCGATTCCTGTTATTCCGTGTTCGTAAATGGTGTCTAGCGGGTTTTCTTGAGTAGAAATATTTTCTATTATGTGCTTAAGTTAAAAGGAATTGCTGTTGACGTGTTTACTACTTTCTAATATGTGTTTAATAGGTTCAAAGTGTTCGTCTAAAAAACGTCTATGTAAATTTGAGCGGGAGATATGAGCTGATGTGTTGGTTTCCATAGATGTGTTTTGTGTGTTTTTTTTATTTGTTGGAGTATGTACAGATGGGTTCGTTGTTTTTTATTTTTTTTTTTTATTTTTTTTTTTTTTATTCAATAAAAATAACAATAAAATTTGGTTGTTAGAATTATGGATGTGTATTGAATTAGTGGGATGGGTAGTGTTTTGTTTGTTGGACTTGTTGGGTCCGCTGATGATATTGTTAGTAAGGCTCGACATTTTTAAGGTTGGATTCGCTGTGTTATTGTTCTGGTCTTTGTATCTTTCCTCGGATATTGTATCTGTAGTTAAACTGGTGCTTGATTGACCATTATTAATTAGGTCAATGGATATATTTTCTGTGGATGATGATGTGTTGGTTTCATTTTTTGCGTTTGATGGTTGTGTTATTTCCAATTTATTTATGTTCATTTTTTTGCAAATTAAAGACGTGTGCTCAGTGGGTTTGCAATTGAAGCATGTTGTACGATCGTCTGTGAAAAAAATTCGGTGCTGTGAATCATTATCGTTAATTAATAGTGATCCTGGTATTTTTGGTGGGTCTTCGTGTTTTATAAACATTTGTCTCCGAAAACTTAATATGTAATCGTAACCTTCGTTGGCGATTCCAGCTTTGAGGCAGCTTAATTGGAATATCGGGGTTATGTTAGATTTTTTTTTAAGTGATCGAGAATATTTTTATTGGAAATAGATGGGTGTTACGTTAAATATTACTATCCTTTTTGCTGGGTTTATAAGTCTGCGAATCTGAATAATCTGAATAAAATCATAATGTAACTGCAATTATCATATTACGTTTCGTAATATTATTGTCGTGGTAACGCAGTCATTGAACTATACAAATCTCCAAAACACGCAAACGTGATATACTAGATTAGCATATATTTTAACTGTTACTAGAATACTAAAATTTATAACACGGTCACTGTTGTTAGAATCAAACACAAACCCTCAGATAAAATACTATCAAAACGTCATGCCTGACCGCAAAATTGAAACGAATAATGCAAATACGACACATGGAAAGGGACGAATGTACGAAACCGAACGACACGGAGAGAAATTCATAGCGCCCGCATTGCGCGTGTGGCGCCATACGAAGATGGCAAAGGACTCGGTTCCCGGGGCGTCTAAGGACTTGGTTCCAAGGAAGGCAAATAAGACGGCTCAGAAGGTGGCACAGGACTCGGTTCCAAATGCAGTCGAGAGAGAAACGGCTAACATTGGAAATTACCTGCATATGATACGAGAACAGTTGACAAAAGAATGTCAGTCGTACGAAATCGCGTCAAACAGCGACATCATTAACGATTCTGCGACGGTGGCTACGATGAACCAACGAGTACTGGACGCGATAAAGGTATGACTATATAAATATGATTAGGATATAAATTGAATAGTAATAAATAATTTAAAATTAGTTACTAAAATCAAAATTAAAAAAATATGAAAGAATAACTCAAATATGACAAATATGACAATAAAACACTGTATGCAGAGGTGTGGCTATTTAATAACCAGACTATCAATTTAGCGATAAATTGTGTATAGATAAGGGAATAATGTTAGTATATTTATAATCCATAAATATCACTGCATTGAACAATACTAATTTGGTTAGATTTCGTTTCATAGCCTACGCGTGAGCGTCGTTTATATTTACTTCTTACGTAATGGATGTTGAAATAATGTTGGGCATAAAAAATAAACAACGAATTAATTTAAAATTTTCCAGCTCACAGTGCCTTTTCTGTCAAGTTATTTCTAGTTAAAAATTTAACACTCTCATATTTAACAGATACGAAAAAAAAAAATTTCGGGTAAATTAAATCGTGTTCTTTCAAAGGAGAGCTGGAAACATTTACAAGACATTAACAACATACTGTTTGGGGTTTCATCAAATATTGATTATCTTGGGTTTTATTTAAACGAAATAGCTTGAATGAAGTATGTTCCAATCACTGGAACAGTGAATATAAGTGTTTGTTTTCGATGTATAAAAATATTTTGTCTGATATTAGAGATTCACAACTGAAAAACTTTTAAAATTTACGTTACATTGACGTGTACATAACGAACTATAAATATGTATAGAGATACAATACTTATAATAATAATAATAATAGTATTTTCACTAACGGAAATTAATTAAAAGCCTACAACAACTAATTCCGAGTAACTCAGTAACCCTATATTATAAATAATGATTTATTATATACTTGATGTACATGGCATATTTGTACAACAGCCGTTATCATTCAATGGATAACGCTCTTAAAATAGCGAACTGATCGATAAACGTCCTGTATATATACGATACGAATTTTTTTTCGAAACGGCCGGTGTTCACCTGCACGACTATATTGAGGACATTATAGCAATAGTTATAGAAAGAAATAACATTAATTTTAGATTTTAGTCAGTCTTGTGGATAGTTATATTTTGGGCTCTAACGCAAATGTGCGATTTTATCGTATAATCATTTAAAACACTTACACGGTATTGATTGTTATTTAAGCGCAAACTAATCATCGTGCGAAATCGTTTCGTTGTATGCAATTAATTAATTTAACTTCATCAAATCGTTTAAAATCGGAAACACAAACACTTTTATCAGCAGTATTTAAATTGCTATCGAATAGCGCGGTACATTTTATAAGTGGACCGAAAATCTTTCCTTATTGGTTTGGCATCAAGGTACCCATTATTATTCCGTTGCTACGCTAGAACGATGCAACGTTTGCGAATTTTCCATAGTTATAATAACGCCTATACGTATATTGTGAATATTTATCGGGAAAATTAAACTTCGTAGGTACATTTTACCTTATAACAATCATTACTTATACAAATGTGAGTAACATTAATTGCAGATAATATCACATGTTGCGATGAGCCTACTTGAAACAATATTTCATTATATTGTACGAATTAATCTCGAAATAATAAATGTTATTATGTATATACAGTAAACTACTGAAATCAATTTTGCGATTTTCATGTTTAAAATATCAAGATAAATTCGTTGACAATTTGACCGTAGGTCACTCTTTCAATAACGATGCGAAGTCAAAAATTGTTAGCAGTTTTATAGAAACTCAAAGATACATTCAATTTATGTTTAAACGCTATAACTACTACGAAATATGTATATATATATATATGTGAATGTATATATAAGAAATATGTATATATATATATATATGCCAATAAGTCCGCACTCATATTTTTATACGTATTTATATTATAACTTTATGCGTGCAATGGATTTAATGTGATTTAAAATGTACGAATGAAATATTTCATAGGCGAAAAAAATATTTTCGGTACAAGGATATTATCCAATCGTTTCGGAAGAAATGAAAAAAAGAGGTTGGATTGAAAAAAAGGACCCGGGATTGAATCCACTAGATTATAAATATTTCATTACTTTAATGTCGGCAACGAGTAAGTATAATAATAAACATTGCAGTTAACATTTCAGTTTTCGACAAAACGAAACACGAGTAAAACGTTCTGTAATCCTTTCGACGAGGTCGGTAAACGGTGGTTCGGAGCATATTGCGTACAGTTTTTTTTTCTGGGCACAACCATTCTAATGTTTAAGTTTTTTTAAATTTTTTCATTCGACAAACAAACAAACAAACAAACAAACGTTTCGTCGATGGAGTTAAAAAAAATGTAGCGCATTGAAATCAATAGTTAAACAATGATCGGTCGACGAACGATTTCTGTGCAGATTACTGCGGGACGTTCGATATCTCATCGCCGCCGTCGTTGAGCGGGATGTCCGTGAGTGCCTTGGTCGAGGAAATTTTAGCCAACGATCGCGCGTGGCCGTTGGTTAGGGACGTGGTTCCAAGCTACGTGTTCACCACGAAAAGCAGTGCCGAACAGAATGAGGTCGTCGACGGTGCCACGGCTTTGAGCCAACTGGGTCGTTTGAGGTTTGGCAACAAAGTATGTACACGCGCTCGTGTTATCGCGCGGGCGGTGATCGAGAAAATATATAAAACAAAAATATTGGTGAAACGGTGTATCGGGGCTACCGACACCCGAATCTTAAATGAATACACGGGATACTCTATTACATTATTTATTGAATATTAACAAACATTATACAAATTAATAAGGGGATATTCCGGGCCGCGCGGCTGGCTTGAGCAAGCGGCCGCACAGTGGTTTGAAATGTATATTTAGCTTACATAAAATTATTTTTTGCGTTATAACTATAGTTATTATAGTTATAACCAGTGGCACCCAGACAGGTTACCAAGGGGTGCAATTACTTGTGGTCTCGTCGGGGGTGGGTTGGGGGATATATAATTGAACAACTTGGATACCAAACATTATGGAGTATGGCAAGCCAATAACATTATTATTATAACACAAACATTATATCTATACGGCACTGGGTGTAGACATTTTAATTGTAATAAATCTTAATTTGCCATATAATGTTTTTTTTGATCATTAGCAGTACAATTAATTTGCAGTAGTACAAATGAGAACATAAACAGATCACTGTCTGTTACCGATTGTGATGTAGAAAAATTAATCCTATAGTGAGCCTGGCCACTACTCCCATCACATCTCCATTTACACAACAATTCATATTTGCCTATTATTATATTAATATCATTTAATGTTGGCATTTTAAAAAGGCGCTCAACAGTGTGATTCAACAAATCCTGGAGAAGTATTTCTGCGCTATTTCCTGTATGATAATATTTTTCGGATAACATTGTTTTTTAGCAATAAGAACTTTTTCATATGGTGGATAAATATTAGACTTCCGATTTTTAGAACCAATTCTAATGCTAAAATATTGTTTTTTTGTTAAGCGATTACCAATAAGAAATGCTATGGCTTCATTAGCTGTGTAATGAACGGAAACAGATATATTATTACTTTGTAATGACTTTCAAATTTTCTTAGCATGTTTAGGAGTTGATGTAATCTCTTTTTTAATTAATACTACACTTCTATTTCCAGATTTAAACAATTTAGATGTCACAGCATATTTTAATTTCGGAGAAGTATAAGTTTTTACAATATCCTGTACTTTTGTTTTTTTTTACTCTTTCAGAACAAGAATTGAAATCTTTTTTCGGACGCCCAGCATGATTACTATATATTTGAAACTCATAAATATGTAGAATAAATTATCTTTAGAGCCAAATGGAATGTTTTTTCATAAAAATTTAAATCTATTGCATTGAGATCATTTTCAATTTAAATCTACTGCATAAGGATGTATTAATTCTGAAATTCGGTCTTTGTATTCTAAATCCTATTGTTGCTCATTATATTTTTCACAAATTTTACTAAATAAAAATGTCCTTGACCCAACAGAATAAGGATTTAATGTGCTTATTTCATGTACCATATTAAACAGATCTTCGTATGTGAAATTGATTGTTTGCATACCACTACTAAAATATACTAAAAATCAAATAAAACCCAAATAGGCAATTAAAAGCAAGCGAAAGTTATTAGAATTGATTAATTAATGTATATATTAAATGAAAAATATATGGTACAAGTGTTACTATTTGTTACTTTTAAGTTATAGTATTTTTAATGTACAAAACCTTTTTTACTGTTAATATTTTAAGTTTTAGAATATAAATGTTCATTTGAATATCGATATTAAAATAATTTTATTTATGCTTACCTCCATTTACAGTTTCCATGCTATACAATGTCTATTGAAAAATAATTTTTAAATGATTGGTATACTTTCAACCACAGTCGAACATAAAATAAATGAATGTTCGATAGTGATAAATAATACAGACAAATATTTGTATAATTTTATAAATAAATCGACTTAAGTAATGTGCATGACAATATTTTATCAAATTATAAATTGTATAAACTTTTATACAGGTAACATATAGTGCAAATTTATTATTTAGATAATATTTTATCATACTTTAAAATTAGTATTTTATGTAAGTTAAATATACATTTCAGACCACTGTGGGCCGCGGCGGGCGGTATCGGGCCCTACGCAGGCGCGACTGGGAGATCTGGATGCACGATGGAAAGCAGGCTTAAACAAGCGAGCAATACATGATCACTTTACCGGCGACCGCTTAAATAAGCGCGCCAGAAAGGTTTTACAAGTGTTGGCCCTGAAAAGGACCTTTTTCAGTTTCGGTGAACAGACCCATGAATGCCGCTGGAGCCGGATTCGTGGTTGTTGTAATCGTCGTCGTGGTTATCGCCGCGTCGTTGCCGTCGTCGTCGTCGTAATCGCCGTTGGGCTCTTCCAATCTTCTTATCTTGATATCTGAGATGTTGATAGTAGAGATGTTTAGTTCGTGAACGAATAGTTCATTTGAACTATTCACTTTGATGAACTATTCTGAACTGTTTCAGACTTAATAGCTCACAATTCGAAAAAAATTGGTAGCATTGTAGAAATGAAATAGTTCACGAACTTCTTTAAAAATTCTCTGTGGTTCGTTGTTTGAAATCCGGTAAATTTAAACAGCTGTTTACAATTAGATAACAAATACTTAATTGTCCATAAGTAGTGTGAACTACTACTGAACTGTGTACTGCTGTACTAATAGTGATAAAAGGCAGAGGCGTGTCCAGCGGGTAGGCCTGGTAGGCCCGGGTTAGGGTTTTTAACCTTTAAGTATACCCAAAATATGCATTTTAAAATTATATTTATATAAGTACACGAATACTGAATGTAAAATGTAAGTACATTAACATACTGCGTAGACAATTGTGTGACCATATTTTTTATCGATCATATTTTTTGCTGTAAACAATATACATATTTGTCTATAAATAAAATTAATTACTGTAAAATTTATCGGCAATTCTCAAACGCTTCTTGGAAATACTCCATATTTCTATATAGATCAGGGGTGGCGAACCTATAGCACGGGTGCCAAAAATGGCACGTTGACCAAATTTTAATGGCACGCGCAAAAAATTGAAATTATTAAAAATTGTGAAAAAAAAAATATACTATTTATAAAATGTTGATTGTAAGAAATTAAAATAAACAAATTGTAGACTTTTTAAAAATGACAATATTCCTTATGCTTTCATATTTTTCGTCAACTTATGTTTGTGAAAGCTTATTTGCCATAACAAATTTAATTAAATCGAAGAGAAGAAACGTTTTGACCAATGAAACCATTTCTGCTTGTGTTTCTACTAATAATGACTAAAATTTGTTAAAAACAATGTAATAAATCTGTAATTTTGTATATAGTCTTAGAAAATATAATTTTCTTCGGACACGTGAACGATTTTCAAAACCTAAAAAAGAAAAATTTGGCATTTGAACTAAAAAAGGTTCGCCATACCTTATATAGATATTACACGACCCGACGACCGTCGTCGTTTGGTCGGCGATCACCGCCGTAGTGTTGAGCGTCAAAAACTATGACATTGCTATTAGATAACGAATATTTTATTTAGTACCGACTTTTAATTTATTGTCACGGTTGACAACCGAGCCCGTGAGTGAGAGTCTTCGTTTTGTATTTTTTTGTGCATATATTTTAAAACTATTATAAATTGTTTTTTTTTTTGTATTTTGTTAAAATTGATAATTTGTAATAAAATAATTAGCCAATTTTTTAAACCTGTTCCTAAATCAACAAGAATAGTAAATGATTAATGATGATATAGTAGATCTACCACCAAAAAAAATTGTAAAACTAAACGACAATTCAATTTCTAACGATTCATTTAATGCAAAAGTTCTCGATATTAGTTTAAATTGTGATAAAAAACCTATACAGCCAATCATTAATTTTCCCTGTCGAAAAATTGTTGAGAAACAATGTTGTTTTCAAAGTTATTGGTATAAAATATACCCTTGAATTGAATATTCAGTTCAATTGGGTGCAATTTTTTATTTCTATTGTCGTCATTTTGCAAACATTTTGTCATATTTTTTGAATATTAATAGTACATTAACTAATTATGTTATAACTTCAACGGCTGGTTTTAAAAGTACTGATATTGCAATGCCAAATATGCAAGTTATGTATTCTACAGTGGTAGATAATATATTAAGTGAAATGAACAAAAGATTTAATGACCTTTCCGATTTTTTAACTGCAATATCAGTATTTAATCCGACATTAAACAATTTATTAAATAATTATTTTGTTTTAAAATTTACGAATTATTATGACGATGATAAATATTTTTCGGATAAAGTATTGAGTCAATTCAAATTCAATGTAAAATAACCCGCAGGGGCTTCGCCCCCATACCCCCTTCCCATACACAAGTAAAACTTTTAAACCATTAAAAATATAGATATGTTTTAATTGTATTCAAAAAACACTAAATAACGTATATTTAAAAATAATTAATATTTTATTTTAATGACAAATAATGTATTTGTATTAGCAAAGATACTCAAAATATCATCGCTTTTTATATTTTTCGATATATCTTTTTCAATATATAGTAGATATTGAAAGATTGCTGAACCTATCTTGAATCAACAATATCCTTAGCCAAGTTTTTATTTTTTTCATTGCACTGAAACTTCTTTCGCAAGTAGCCAAATTATGTAATTGGTATTGTTAATACTATTGTAAATAGTTTTTTATTATTTCTTATTTTACGATTTTCAAAAAAAATGAACAGATAATTATAAATAAATTATAAAAACAACGAATAAAATTTCTAACAAAGTTTCGATTTTTGGGGGGCTCTTAAAATATTTGGGGGGTATAAGCCCCCCAAGCCTCCCCTGATATCCGCCTATGCATTTATGACTACTACACGTTTTCATAATTCAGCGCTGATATTAATCGAGAGTTCATTTGGGAGTTGTCGAAAGATCCTACTAAGATAATTGACGAGTTCGCCAAAATGAAAAACCGGCGAATTCAATTTATTAAATAAATACTCATATTATAAATAGTTCTTAATATTAGTACGTCATGTTACAAAATGTGATGACTATACAAATTATTTTTATAACCAGGCCTGTCCTGAAGTTTGGTCCTAGACACGCCTCTGATAAAATGAATAGTTAATTGCCAAACAATATCAGTATGATCAATAAAATTAGTGAATTACGTGAACTTAAGAATAGTTCATATGAACTATTTACTTGAATGAACTGTGAACTATTCACAGAAATGAATTAAACTTTCCATCTCTAGTTGATAATTGTGGATAGAAGAATGGAGTGTCAATGCTCAGAAAGGTTTCCGGTATTTATATCTAATTGAATATCGACGCTCCATCCTCATTCGTCGGTTTCCTATCTCCCATCGACGATGTAAAACGGCACTATTCTTATATTTTATTTGGTCGCCTTCGTGCCGTTTTACCTCGTCGTATCGTTGTTCTTTGTGGCCCTGAAAAGGGCCGTTTTACTATACATGCGCTCCGTTACATCAGGCAGGACTGGGCGAGACCGTGGCGAGTGTGTCGAGCGAACGAAACGTTCGATTCCCGAGGACCTACGGCATCTCGAACTACAGTTTGCAGTTGGACGTGTTCGTAAAGGATTACCGATTGACCGCGGTCGTGGGCTCGTTGAAGTATATAGTTCGTTTCAAACGCTCGGAGAAAACGATATTCAGCAAGAACGGAACGGTAAGCTTGTGCGAATGGATTACGGCGAGACCCTGAGGCCGAAACAGTGTGTGCGTGTGTTTGTGTACACTATTTATGAAAGTGTATCACATTAATTATCATATTGTCATATTAATGACTCATGATATTATTAATTTATATTCATAACTTGGGTAAATATCATAATTATATTTATTTCATTTTTTACATTTTAAATAAAATATTGTTTGTTAAGCCCGTTTTAAGTTAAAAAAATGGATTTTCTTTAAATATAACTCATTATGTGATATCATAATGTTATTATTACTCTAATAAGTACTTTAACAAAATAAGTTTAAATATGTTTTATAAACACAAATAATGTTTTACCATAATAAAAAAGATTAAAACAAATTATTTTCGATAAAAATGTACACAAACAGATTTATATAAAAACAATACATTCCTTATTTAAATCAGAATTTTAAAATTTTAAAAGTTAACAGATTTTTTTTTAAACTGTTTTATTTTTTTAAATTATACCAATCAACTAATAGTTTTGAATACATAGTAAGTCTTTTAAGACTAGATAATATTATCGTTGCAGAACGAGAATCACAAATAAATCGAAATTTTTGTTCTTTGATATTTTTTTACTCCATCTATAGGCTATGAAAAATGTTAACAGGTATTGTTCTACTATTCTCTACCGCAATGTTTTCGTAATCGCTATAATTATTAATAAATAACCCAGGAATATAACTATTTTTCTTCTAATACGAGTAGTTTGTGAAAAATATTTTTATATGTTTTTACTAATGAGTATTATTTGTAAATACTTTAAAGGTAAAATTTATATGATAAAAGAGAAAAGTATTCTTATAATAAATAGTTTATTAAGTGATCATATTGTAGATTAATACGAATAATAATGAAAAATTATTAACGTACTAATAAATGTAGAACAGTATTCCTTAAACAATTGCCTTAAATATTATTTAAATGTTTGAATAAAAAAACATTTTCAGAAATCTGTGATAGGAATCTTTTAACATGACCTTTTTATTATTAAAAATCGGTCAAGTAATATCAAAATGATTAAAATATGTACAAATTATATATTTTGAAATTATTATTTGAAAATGATTTCTAGAAATTTAACACCTGTATAAATTATATAAAAGCATACATTAAGCTACGCTGACTAATGAAAATATGTCATTTTTAAAGAGTAAAATACACCGAGTTTTGATGTATTAACATACCTTTGTGTTTCAACCGCATTATAGTATGACATTAAACAAAAACGTAAAATAAAATATTTAAGTGAAATATTAAATTAACAAACACACGTACACACACGTACACACGTACACACACACACACACACAGACACACACACACGTACAACAAAAAGAGCAGTGTTTTGGGAGACAAATAAATGCACAGAATAAAATTAGTCAATAAGATAAACGATTGTATTCCGTAAACAATTAATCTTATTTTAAACCATGAATGTGAAATTATTTAAATTAATTGATATTTAAATACTAGGTTTCCAAATATATTAAATATCGCGAAATAATATAAATGTTGAGTAAATATAAAAAATAGACTCGTAAATTATTGCTAAACCTATACAAATATTTACGAGTAGTGAAAACCTCTCTTCACCGATAACTCGGAAACGTCCTCTATAAATAAGTATTTAAAAATAAAAATATTCATATATTTAATTATAAAAATGACGATTTGAGACCAATGGTTCTTTATTGAGATAACAGCTATTATCGCAGTTAATGTTAAGATATATTATGTGTTTCGTCTTACAGATTCCGTTCGCAATGATTAACTTTATCGAACTACGTTGTCGTGAATTCATACACGCTTATCGAAGCACAAGTAAAAGAGATATTTTATGGTTTACCACGGAGCTAGTGGAAAGTTGGAACGATTTCATCGCGTGGAGTTATGAACTCTTAGAACGAGGCCGTAATATCCGTCTGCTTCAATGGTTTCAAATTAACGTAAGTATCAACCCTTTTTTATATTTCAACTATGTGTATTTTCGAATTTTAATTTACGGGAAATTTACGTGTACCACGAGACAATATTTTTAAGTGATAGATTTTTTGTACTTGTTAAGCAATATCAACTTTTATAAATGCTTATCATACGATACACTTATCAACTTACACATTTCATACGCTGCATTAATTTGGAATTATTACAAAAGTAGTAGTCCTTTTATTGACTATGTTACACCAACAATTCCAGAAAAATTTAACTAATATTTGTATATAAAAAAAAAAAAAAATGGTATTCCCATTTCTAAAACGAAAATTGATAATAGTGTCACAGGACACTTCTCAGTAGTTACAAAATATTTATATATAATTTTATATAGTACATGTATCAGAGGCGTAATTAAGGGGAAGATAAGGGGGATATATACCCCCCTCCCCAGAACCTAAATATTATGTATAATTATTTAATAATTTGTGGCTTGTGAGATTACATGTTTATGTATGTACATTATATTACAAAATTAATTTAATATTTTAATAATTATTGTTTAATTTAAAAGTGAAATTTAATTTTAATACATTTAATATTTACATTTCGAAGAATTTATTATAATATAGTATAGGTACTAAATTGTGTAGAATTTTAAAGCAACATTTATTAATACATTTTGTGTACCTATTTATTAGTTAAAGGATTTTTGATGAAATAGTACTCCTAGGTACCATTCACCCCGAACTTGAAAATCTAAGTATTTTGTATGTAAAATATGTCTTTCCCCCCTAAGAAAAATTCTTAATTAAGCCACTACTGGAAACATTTTTAAATTCTGTTGAACTATTTTCAAGGGTGTGTAACACAGGATACAAATATTTCCCAAGCAACAAACGGGTATTATTAGGATTAGTAAGGGTATAAGAAGATTTTTAATAATACAAGCGGTATTTTAAAGGGTTATCTAGAAATGCGCCTATTGCCTAATTACTTGAACAAAATTAATTTTTTATTCCCCATTATCTTCCATATAGTAATTTTGTATCGATAGTTCAAAATAGTTGTATAATGTTTTTATGTGTATATTTCATATTGTTATACCAATGTATAAAGAGAATATTGTTACTTAAGAGATAATACGAATGAAACATATTATAGAAAATAAAAATGAAACATTTTTGTAAATAACAACATGCATATTTAAATGTTCAGTACTTCAAATTAATAATAATAATAGTGATAAAAATCAAAATTAACTCTGGATTTTTAAAACATATATAGTATGAAAACTAAAAATAATTACTGTATAATTGTTTAAAAATACTATCATACTTAGTTAATGTATCTTATAAATATATATATATATATATATATATATATACATACACCAATTAAATAATTACATGTATGGTATATTATTTTATAAATAAATATGTTATAATATTATTTGATTTGTCTTTTCTAGGCAAAAATATCAAACTTAAATTACTTAACTATTTACATTTTTTTAAGGCTTAACGTTAAATTTCGTTGTTAATATGTTGTAACTGTTGTAGACTTATTGACTATCGTTATACTTAGAATATAGATTAGCTATATTAAATAATTGTTTGTTCATTGATAATTATGAATTAACATTGTAAATAACTAAAAACATTTTTCAGTTCTATTTTTTATTTTTAACTTAATTTGTGCAGGTATTACAGTAATGGAATAGAAGCGTTATACCTACAATATAAATAATTTTAAATTGTTATAAATAATTAAAAAAATCTACAAAAACACATTTCATTTTTGAATAATAGAGTAAGCAAAATATATACTGCAATAACTGTGAGGTACAGTATGACAGTAATACATTTTAATTTCTTAACAGTGATGTGACTGACAGATTCCCAAATAGGATATTAAATTAATATTTATATAATGTACCTATATAAATTTAAATATTAATTATTACTGGTATCAGTTGCCGCAATACGAGTCAATGAAATATTTACTTAATATATAAACATTTATTATTTTATTACTTTATTAATATAATATATTTATACACGATATTAAAGTAGTTAAATCAATGAGTATAACTTTTACATTATTTTATTATTAGAAGAAACTGTAAATTCAATTACAGTCTGAACTATAAAAAATTTTGGTGATAAAAATTAATAAGAACACGTTTAGAAAGGCACTAGGACTACACTTTTACAAAAAAATAATGGGTTGTCACAATCGTTGGATGGATTGGGTTTTTTTTTAAAAATTTCAAATTTCTATTTGTATATTTTTAGGTCTGAGTTTTTTTTAGTCTTTAATTTAACTTTCTACTTTCCCAATATCATATTAAATAGCAACAACACAATGGGAGTTTAATAGTTACTCAAAAATTATTATACTTAATACGAGTTAAAATATTTTTTGTAAGTATATCATTTTGGGATAAAAATTACATAAAAAAATATACGGTTTAAATTGGAAATATATATGTTTTTGAATTCAACATTGAGAAGTATTTCCATTAATACAACGATGTACATCAATACACAGAGATAAGTACAGTCACATAGAACCAGTGGCATATATAAGGGTAGGATGTGGGAGTCAGACCCCCCTGGCCTTTTTTTAAATGTTAATGTTCTTAGTGTGAGGTCATTAGAAACGTTAAAAAAAAATAATGATAAAATAAAAATTATGATTTGTTTGGAAATGATCACCCCCCCCCCCCCATACAAAAGTTATGTATACGCCACTGACATGAATGTTTTCCATAAATCGTAGTTGGGAAAAATGCATAATAATAAGCATGGAAAAAGAGGTGTGGGCGATTGAAAAATCACTCAGTCCTTGCTTAACAGCGTGAAACCGTCTTTATTTCGCTGTTTAACTCTTGCGCTTATGGATTTATTATGCTAATGACCCGGTTCCAGGATATTTTTGAGCGGCTCGACCATATAGCGCAGACGATTAAATCGTACTGTCCGCAATATTTTATCGATGGCGAGACGAATCTGTGGATTCTGAAACCGTCCAACAAGTGTTCCGGTGCAGGGATACAGCTGGAAAGAAATTTCGAGAACATTAGGGAATTTCTTAAGAAACCGAATGTAATCAGACAGAATTACATAATACAGAAATATATAGGTAAAATCATTGATTATGTGACGACAATATGAGAGACATTGGTCTGTAATCGTTACGCGGTACATTACGACGTGATGATAACAATGTAACAATGATTATTGTTTTATAGAAAGACCGTTGCAGATTTTCAAAGTTAAAGTGGATCTACGGCAGTACTTTTTGATCACGAACACACGTCCGATAAAAATTTGGATGTACAGGTAACGAACAATATTTATTAACGCGTCCTGTAGTCGTTCCGCACCAGCTTTAGTGATATTTAAATAACCATAAGTGTTTTATAATAGAATGTGCCGGCCGCAGTGCAGCGTGTATGTGTTATACTCAGTGATGTAAATTGTATAATACGTATTGTAAAATATTGTATTATACGTCATATATAAAAAAGTAAAATACAAGTGGTATAAAAAAAAAAAAAAATCAGTGATAATTGATAAATGGTAGATATCAGTAATAAAACGACGGAGTACGGCCATACAAGTAACATGGTTATTGGTAGGTGGTTGCCGGTTGGCATCGATCGTAGAAAATAGATTATAAAGAATAAGCATCATTGTCCATTATAAAGAACTATTCTAGACATAGACGATAGACCCATTCACTTAAGTTCCATGATTCTAGTCGAAATATTTGTGAATCGTAGTGATACGTGCGATAAGTGCCAAGTCATAATCAGTAGACAGTAGACAGCAGTATAATATTATACTAAATTGTATTAATTCTATTTAATTTAAAACGTTAGTTACTGTGGGTCGACCTAATAATGTCCGGCAGTTATATATTTAACAATTATGTAAATATCATAACATTTTTGTAGACTACTGTATTATACAATAAAAAAATAAAATACAGTATTTTACATCACTGGTTATACTCGTAGTACAGAACTTTATGTGTTTATTATATTTACTGCAGCTAACGTATGTTATAGTTTAACTACTCTTACTCAACTTTGGCAATTTTACAAATATTGTAATTTAAATATCTAACATTAAATTATTACGTTTGTATTCTAGTATAAAAGTAATTGCACCGGTACAATAACGTAACTCCAATTAATTATAACGTGTCTGCAGGGCCGTGGAGAGAAATCAAGGGCCCCAAGGACAAATTAATCCGGGGCCTTCTCGTACAAAGTATTAAACTTGCCACTGACTTCCAGTGTCATATTTTAAAATATGTATACCAAAGAGATAATGTAATCGCAGTCACGACGAATTTTAATTATTATTATAAAAAATATGGTTTTATATTATTAAGTATAACGATTATTTATTATAATTTTTTCTACTATGATTTAAATATGTGAACGATATGATATTATAATTTTTTTTTAATAATATATTATATTAATTTTGTACTAATACTTGATTTTCTTCACTGGCGAAGTTTATATGAATTACCTATTTTTTTTCCGGTGGAGTTTACAGTAAAAAAAGGTACTAGTGGCGAAATTTACATGTGCCCCTGTAGAGCATATGCTATAATTATCGGTGTATACTAGTTGCGGTCACTCAAAATATATATCAAGTATATATAGTATATACGATGCTATTTTTTTTAACAATAAAGATTAAAAATTTTCCTTTCCATTTTATAAACAGACTTAGGACTGTCCACACAATTTTTATTCTGTAGGTTTGAAATCGCTGAAGTAATTGTGAAAAGTCACGCGGCAACTCCGGGTGAACATTCATTCTTGCAGTGTGTATATTTTTTCTAGTCAATGTAACGCCATTTGACCCTAGTACTTGACATCTCAGAATAAAAAATTTTGGAGGGACGCTCGTTCAACTGCTCCACTGCTTCACGTTTAACATTGTAACTAACCTTTTGCCGTACCATTGATTGGTGATCATCTAGTTCGTGATTATACTACTATTGCAGGGGCGTATACAAGGGAGGATTTAGGGGTCAGATCCTCCCCCCATAGGTATTTTAAAAATTATATAAAATAGTATTCTTAATGTAAGGAAATTATAAGGAAACAAAAAATATTTCAAGGATATATTGTAAATTATTATTTTGAAACATTCAATATATATATATTTTATAATTTATTATTTAAATGTGCAAGTCCTTTGACTTAGGAATTTTTTTTCCATAATAATTTGTTTGCAATTAATCCTCTCATATAAAAGTTTTATGTACGCCACTGTACAATTTTAATTATTTTATTTACAAACTTTACAGATATGTAATAGGTATATGACCGCAACTAAGATATTACCTACAATTCGCGTGACTGCAACTGTTATATGTTCTTATCTCGAAAATCATCGCTGACCGCAATCGGATACAGCTATAATTATTTGGTAGGTTATTTGCACGATTCATGTTAGTGATCCATAAATAGCTCGACACCATGACCGAGACATAGTGGACTTTGTCAGGCCCCGAGCCTTTTTTAAAGCCCGGTTTCCTGGGCTATAATCCCGGCTGCCCCCTCTTCTCGTCGGTCCTGCGTTCCTGTTATTGAATCTTTAGCACGTATCTGCGTTTAGTGTTTTACGTAGTTTGAAAATATTATTTTAATCATAATATCTAGTATAGAGGGTGATGATTTTAATCAATTATTCATGTTATAACACGATAATGTTCTTTAAATTCATTATATATTTATTAAGATAGTATGGTATTATTCCAGATAATGATTAATGTGCATGAATAGAATAGAGCATCAAACCTGCAGTAGTTCATAATTTAAAATTTAAGATTGAAAGAGTTAAAAAATTAACCATGCGTACATTTTATCTAACCGTTGTTATTTAGATTTCAGTTTGAAAAATATAATATAGATAAAAGTGTAAAATTATATTTTTACAACATACTATTTTATGGCTGTTGTAGGCAATTATTTATGTAGTTAGTTAGTTAGTTTATTATATATAACCTATCCTCTAGTAAAATAATTAATCTAAATTGCGAAGACAAAATATGTTTTATTCCCGTCACTTATTTTTAAACGAAGTAATTTGAGTTAATTTTACGAGCGTAAATATAAAATGAAATTAAAAGACTTAAGGTCCAACGTTTTATTAAAAAAAAAAAAAAAATTAATTAATCAAAATAAGTCTATATCATCATATTGCGCTAAAATTATTTCAATATCACTTTACCAAAATAAATTAAGTATAAATAAAACGCATTTTAACTAATTGCATAAATTAAACACAAATTGTTTTATTATTATGTTAAATTCATGTTAGCTAATTTAAACGTAAGCTATGTAAATTATTATACAACATATTTCATTCGTCTAAACATTTCCCGCTGCTGGTTGAATAAAAAAAATCCAAACGGATTGCTTCATAAAAAAAAAAAAAAAAAAAACGTAAAAGTCGAGTTTTTTTCTCGTTAAATAACGAATTTTACTTATAACATTATAAACTGACATAAGAAATGCGCGAGTATGGTATTCATAATGTACCAATGTATATATTTACATATTATACAGGATATAAATATTTTAACGGGTGTGTAACACGTGCAGGGAAGGATACGTAAAGTTCTGTTCGTTACCGTTTTCCGTGAACGACCTGAGGGACGGGGTTCACTTGAGCAACGTCAAGGTGCAATCGAGATATAGAATGTTCAGAGCATCTGGTGTGCCGGAGGAGTGCATGTGGGATTTCGCGCAGTTCAAACAGTACCTGGCGTCGATTGGCAAGGGTAACGAGTGGGACGCGTCGATATACCCGAGCATGTGTGAAACGATCACGGTCGTGGTTCTCGATCACCTCAAGCGCAACCTCGGCAAAATGCATTCGTTGTCTTCATTCCAGTTGCTCGGAGCGGATTTCGCGCTGACGGAGAACCTTGAGCCTTGGCTAATAGAAATCAACAGTAATCCTGGCCTGAGTCCGAATACGTATGTCATTAACAACGTTGTTACGACGTTGCTGAAGGACATAATCAAAGGTACTGCGATTAAACAGCAATATCGACGTTTCGATTATTGCGACTATCATGATAATAACACGGCGAGTATGTTATATTATACTAAGACGACAACGTTAAACATGATGCGATCAACAGACGTATAGCCATATGTATCAAAGCTTCACGCGTCACTCTCTAGTCGATTATTTATTAATGTCTACACATCTACGTGTGTGTTGACATTATAACGTAGTATCGTGCTACTGATACGTGTCGCTTATAGAATTGACTACGTTGTGTGTTTACAACCAATGCGGATATATTATTATTATGTTAAAATTAAATTAAAATTATGGAAAATGATACGGTTAAAAATTAAAACGTGCATTGAAAAGAAAAATAATAATAATAAAAACAAAAAGCTTATTTGTATAATTCTTTGGTAATGCTTGTTTTTCAAGATTTCTGTGTTAATTGTGTTTTTAGTTACTGTAGATTTTCCACTCGATTCAACTACAGATACTGGACTTTTCGAGCGAATTTGCACTAACACATCTGTAAAACACGGCAACTTTACGAAAACCGACACAAAGGAATATTATTACCACCAGCCACTCAAGAGCACTATAAAACACGGCCACAAGTTATTGAAAAAATAAAAAAGATGATTATCACATACGTGTTCCCAGCCCCCCACATTGAAATTCTCAAATTTTTTTTGGCCTAGAAAATTTTTTTTTAATAAGTGATTTTGATGTGTGGAGAGGGTCGGAGACACATGTCTACAGCCTCCTCACCTATTTTTCGTAACTTAATTAAAACACTTGCAAATACATGCTAATTATATGTTAAATATTTGCCAAAAAAAAAATTTGAAAATTTCAATGTGGGAGGGGGACATGTACGTATGATTATCATATTATTACGATCATACCATAGCAACAGCATGTTAAATTGTTCTTTAAAAAATAAACTACAGAGTTTTTATCTTAATGACTTACAAGTTTATTGCTGTAAGCCCTCTGTCGCATGTAGGAGTGTACATTAGAATCATCCGTCTAAGCATTGTACACTTTTATAAATTTGTTACGTCTTACTATCAAAATCGTACATTCATTTTGCAAGTTCAACATTTGGTTCGTAACAACGTCATCATTTTAACTTTTTTTTTATATTCAACATAGATTAACAAATGTGGTATCGATGGATGCGCTCTTATTGTATGAATATTGCTATGAAAGATAATTCCAATTTTGTCCAATTATTAACGATTTTAGAGAGTTTTTGAAGTAAAACTTCTTTCTTGAGAACTAGGTGGAAAATAAGACGACACGAACAAATGAAACAGCAGGTTATGGTGTATGGATGCGTGTGTAAAAGTGCGACATCGGTTGAATGATTAAATGTCATATGAGCGAGTGTGATAGCGCGTCATTTGCTGAGTGTGTTCTTTATGTTTTTTTCTATTTCTACTATCCTCTTTGTGCGGATCTTCGTATTCTGGGACCGCTTGTGGAGGGTTACTTTGTACGGGGCATGCAGGCATTATACACGCATGCGCGCTTGTTGTTTGATTACTTGCAGTGAACATAGCACAAAAAATACACGCAAATATATATTTCATATTTTGTATACGTGATTTAAAACAAAAAATACAAACAAATTAATAAAATAAATACACGGCTACTCCCGTAAACATGCCAATGAATTAATATGCTTAAATGAACACATTTATAATTTAAGAAACACTATTTAAAATATAATTATTTTTGATCATTTTAATCTAATAAACATCAACTGTTGTTAGGTTTGTTACTTATTCGCATAATTTTTCGGATCAATGATGGATTCTATTTGAACCTGTAATCAAACATACATAATTCCTATATATGAATGTAATTTTAATGTACATTTACGCAGTTAATTTTAAATTAAATTTTTATAAATATGTACAGGTACGTAATACATAGGTGTATTATATACTTTAAGTAGTCTAAAGGCCATGTGAATTTAAGCTAAGTTTTTGTATTAGCGGTTTGATGTATTATCAGTACTAATTTATCATATAACTCAGTAATAAAATTGCGCACAAATACCACTGATATGAGTCAAGCATACAAATACGATATCTGCGTGCATCAGATGTACGGAAAAAATAATAATCAAAACTGATGGATGCTGAGATATAAAATAACACACAAGTTCAAAATAATTAATGAAATAATGTATGAGTAGGTCGCGCCACTCTTACTTTCATTATTTGGTTGGATTTTTTCAAATCGTCTAAGTCTTTAGCGTGACGTGTTTCTTCTGCATTTACCGCTTTGGCCATCTCGATTTTGAGTTGCTCCGTCTTCGCAATCGTTTTATCAAACGCTGCCTCTAATTTTTCATTTTCGGTCTTCAAATTTTCTCTTATTGTCTTCAAATTGTTCATTTGACCTTTTTGCTACGAAAATACCACAGGGTTAACAATTATAAATATTTTTCCATGATGCCATGAAGTTATTCAACCTAATGCATGTAGTACTATATTTGATTGTAAGTATGGCGGTATATTTATGTTACTTATTATCAGTATTTTATCATCATCTGAAAATGTCATCACCAATAATATTACTATAAGTTATTATATGTTAATGGCAGTGTTCCATTTGGGAAAAATTAAGTAGAGGAGATCAGTTCAACGATTAAAAAACTGCATTTCACGTTTGAAATTATTTAACACAGACCCGTGGGGGGCTTATACCCCCCATACCCCCTCTCTAATTTTTATTGCATATGTTCCTTTTCGGGCATTTTAATGGGTGACTTGTCATATGTCATTCATACCACTTTTTACCCATTAAGATTTATTTATGCATATAATAAAAAACTATTTAGATATTGCTTTGCTTATTACCAACAATGATTTTCGGATTCCAAATGTTATTACGCTCTCGTACAGCTTTTGATAACTGTTTAAATTTTTTTGGATTTCATCACGAACTCGGATTAACATGCTGCCCCTTTCTGGACAGTTTACCGTCACTTGTCTAATAATTTCGTCTGCATACATAAAGCCATAAATAATATTAAACTCAATTAAAATATAATTTTTAAATAACTAAAAAAATATGTAATCAGTCTTATATAAAATTAAAAATTTGAATCAAACTATACATTTAACGAATTTCAGTTAGGTGTCTTAAGACTCAGAAGAATATTAAGTAATATTGCTGATTTTAGAGGGCTCGATATAAACTTGATTAATGTCTCAAGTTCATTATTATATAATTAATTTTTTTCAAAATTCTGTTTCATTTTAGAATATTAATCATAATATTTATTTTCGAAATGTTTTACTTATAAATTTAAATTAATAAATAAAAATATAATATATTGTTTTCAAACTTACTGAAACATTGGAAGTACAGTTGCTCTTTTATCGGACAAATGCCCACCTCTTTGGCATTGAATTGTTTCAAATACATGTTCAATTTCATATTAAGATTTTTCATATCCAATTTAGTACCTGGCTGATTGGATAGCTTTTGACGGTATAATTTCCCATCCTTTTCCCATTCCTTTGCTGGCAATATTTGATTCAAAACGTCATCGCATTTTAGGCCTTGGTTAATATTCACATCTTCTTCAAAATTTAATGTTGAAACATTTGAATCTGTACATTTTTCCTAATAAATGATTTAACATTTATGACCAAAAGTTAATTTATAGCTTATAGCATATATTTTAAAATCCACGTTTATTTTAAAAGCTATTTATAAGTATCTATTACATAATATTATCTTTGTAAATTGAACTTCGATAAATGAAAAACAAAAGATACTTTACGCTGTATAAAAAGTATTTTTATAAATTATGAACTTAAAGACAAAAAACAGTATCAAGCTTTTCATTAAAATTCCTGTTTTAGAATTTCCAAAATATTATTTATATTCAATTTTCTGTGTCTTTTTCTTAAAATTTATCTTGTTAGTCAATTTATTTTTAAGATGATAAAAATATATAAATTACTATCAACAAAAAAATAAAATAAAAAATAGTCATTTGTATAATTTATTTACGCTATTTACAAAGAACGTGATACATTTTAATTTATAATGTATTGGAATATAGAGATTTGAGATTTATTAAGATGTGTAAGAGGGGCGTAGAATAAAAAAGGCTGAGAATTACTGTATAGACCTAGATTAAGACTACGTGTTGTCTATAAATATTGGAAAACTATAGAAACTTATTTGAAACATATTGAACAATATATTCCATGGGAAATGAGTAATTGTATTTTATCATGTAAAAATTAAATAAAAAAGGTAAATCATATAAAAAAATTTTAATTTCATTTAATTTTAATGAAATGTTCCTTAAGCTATTATAATTTAATTTAAACTAAAAGTGTGCTATATGACTTGAGCAAAGTATTTAAAAACGACTATGTAAGAAATTTTCCAATTGATTTTTTATGAATTGGTTATAATATCTAGCTGATAAGTATTATTTAAATTGACAACACTAAATAAAATAAGATAAAATAAAACTATAAAATGTATTTTTAAAATCATTATTATATTATAAATATAAATACAAATGTATATAATAAATAAATATTATGAAATGAAAATATTGTGTATAGAGTGTTGATAAGTAATATCTGTAGGTATCAACATCTTTTCGTCTACATTTTAATATAACCATATATATATATATATATATATTAGGGTGGTCGTTATTTATAGAGGTACAATTTTTTTTTTCAAATTTGTACTCCATGACCCCCTATATTTGTTAAATAGCATAGTAAAAGTATAAATGTGAAATTCTACTATTATTGGTCAGGGGCGCATCCAGGATTTTTTTTAGGGGGGGGGCTAAATTTAAATAATTTTAATATTAATAGGTAGTATTTATTTTGAAATATGTACAGAAATCTTAAAGCTGCACACAATGCTGTTCTTCAGAGTTTTCCACAGTGTAAAATAGTTTGCTGTAAATCCCATTTAGAACAAAGTTGGTTCAGACGTTTGCAGAAAAATAAAAGTTTATTTAAAGAATACTCAAATGATTCTTAAGTAGGAAGATGGCTTAAATAAAATAATTGATATACTATAGTTGATAATTTTTTTTATAATAATTTAAAGTCAAATGTTAATTATCAATAAACCTAATAAAATTATCATAATGTTTGGGGCTAGCCATTATGGGGGGGGGCTAAAGCCCGTTAGCCACCCCCTTGGGTGCGCCCTTGTTATTGGTCAACTCCTTCACGTGCCCCCCGAGGGTTGAAGTTTGAATAATAAGGGTTGTCGATCAATAATTTACATTTATCTTATGAAAAAATAAAAATTGGTTAAATATGCATAGAATAAAATTTATAAAAAATTTTATTCTACATAAGAATTATTCTATTCATAATTCTTGTCAGATAATTATTTTTTAAATAAATAACATTTAAATCATTTTTAAAAATAAATTTACAAAAATTGGTATTTTAATATTGTTTGTGTTATTAATGATTGTAAATGCTTTATCATTGTACATAATTGACAATTATTGAATATCGTGGTTAAAAATAAACTCTTGTTAAGAAAGTACAATTTATATTTGTTCTATCGTACTGATATTAAATAATATTACTTATATTTACACATATTTCATTATCTTATCGTTGGATTAAATAATAAAGTTTTGTTATATGAGATAAAATTATTAATTTTCCTCAATACATGTACAATAAGTACATTAGTACATTGATGGCACGTGAATGCCATTAGTTATTAGTTAGTATATTCTATAGGTGTGTGGATATCGTTCAGTTTAACAGTATTTGTTGTTCATGTGGTTATTTTTCTATAATTGTTAAAGATGTCACGTAAACCTGTGTTTTTAGTTGGTTTTATGCAAAATCAAATCTATGGGGGAAAATTACACTCTAAGAGAGATGTTTTAAGTGTACTGTTTTATAATATGAGAATGGTAAATCTTAATTTACACGAAAGTGCGTCGTTGGTAATTGACGAATGCTTAATCTTTTGGAAGAAAGCTCGTATTCCTACAAAATATCGATCGAACTGTATTATAAAATGTAAAACATTATATGAAGATTTAAGAGCCTTGGAAAAACATAAAACTCGAAATAGTGAATTTGCTAGAAATAGAGAAAAAGAATTCGAAGAAAATCTAAACGATTTATTTGACATCGCACATGATGACGCACTAATTTTAATTAATTTGGAGGAAGACAAAAAATTTTTAATTGCACAGAGAAAAAAAGGCCGTGAAGGATGTATGCTTGGAGTGGACATAAAAGGTACAATAGCTGAAAGAAAGAAAAAAGAAAAAGAAGAACGGCAAAAAGAACGAAGAGAAAAACAAAGTTCAAATTTTAAATCAGGTAATACAATTTTTTTAAACTTCTATTTTTTATACGTTATTCGAATATCTAATATCAATTATTTTGTACTAAACATTTCTAGTGGACAATTTTCAATTTAGATCATCTGATTCCGATTCTTCAGACCTTTGCGATTGTCTTCCTAGTACATCAAGTACCCATGAAAACGTTCTAATTGATTTTGGACCACCAAAATCGAAAAGAGGTAGAAAAGAAATTATGTCCCCGAGATTGTCTGCTGCACTTGATAAATGCAAGGTAAGTGACAGAGATTGTGTTCATTTATTAACAGCCGTTTTGGAAGCACTAGAAATAGATTCTAGTGAATATATTATAAATCGAACATCGATTAAAATATCCCGGGAAAAATTTCGACAACAGATTTCTGAAAGGATACGTTTGAAGTTTAACAATTTAAATTTAAAATCATTAGTGCTTCACTGGGATTCAAAAATATTACCAGATATCACGAGAAAATCAAAAGTTGACCGACTCCCAGTAGTTGTTACAGCACTAAATATGGAACAGTTGTTAGGAGTTCCCGAAATTAAATCTGGTACAGGTAGAGAAATATCTTCAGCTCTTTATCACACTCTACAAGAATGGTCACTTGAAGATACAATCCAGGCTTTTGTATTTGATACTACTGCAAGTAATACAGGCATATTAAATGGCGCATGCCACCTATTAGAACAAAAACTTGATCGGAATATTTTGTACTTGGCATGTAGACACCATGTTTATGAAATAGTGTTACATGGTGTGTTTACTACAGTAAATTTAGTAAATAGTACAGGCCCAGATATTATTATATTCAAAAAATTTAAGAATGAATGGAGAAATATTGATCAAAATTCATTTTCAACATGGTCTACTGACGAAAATGTAAAAAATATTTTAAAGGGTATTAGTGACGAAATTTTAATATTTGCAAAAAATAAAATCAAAGACAATCTTCCCAGAGACGATTATAAAGAGTTACTCGAATTAATAATAATATTTTTAGGAGGTGTTCCTCCACAAGGAATACATTTTCGAGCACCTGGCGCATATCATCTTGCGCGTTGGATGGCAAAGGCAATATATTGTCTAAAAATATTTTTATTCCGAACACAATTTAAAATTACTAAAAAACAAGAAAAAGCATTAAAACGTATATGCTGTTTCATAATAAAATGTTATGCAGAAGCATGGTTTTCATCCACAAATGCTATTACAGCACCTTTGAATGATATTTATTTTTTAAAAACATTGAATGCATACAAAATGGATGACATAGAAGTAGCAGAAAAAGCAATATCGAAAATAATAAATCACTTATGGTATTTAAACGAAGAAAGTGCTGCGTTTTCAATTTTTGATGAACGAATAAATAATGAAACTCGAATGAAAATGGCTCAAAAAATTTTGCAAAAACAAGTATCCGAAGAAATTGCTCTTAAAAAATATACTGTCAATGTTCAAGAATTAAATAATTTTTTAAAGAAAGATTTACCATTGGATTTATTAGGCACAAATTCGATTAAATTATTTGAAAGATTTAACATTCCAAAAGATTTTTTAGAAGTTCACCCTAAAAACTGGAATGATCTAGAAGGATACCAAAAAGGAAAGGAAATAATTGAATCTCTCCGGGTAGTCAATGACACAGCAGAGAGAGGGGTGAAACTTATGGAAGAATTTAATGACAAGTTTACCAAAAATGAGGATCAAAAGCAGTTTGTTTTACAAGTAAGAAATTTCAAATGTATTAAATGATCTATAATATCTATTTAATACATAAATAAAAGATAAAATAGTTGGTTTCTTATTTTTTTTTAGACAGTGCAAGATTATCGAAAAAAATATCCTGGTGCTAGTAGAGAAACACTTAAAACATCGTTTGACTAAAAAAATGTTTGAAAGACAGTAATATATAAATTATTTTGGTTATCATATCTTAGAATTAATATTCTATATATATTATATATATATATATATATATATACGGTGGACCAGCTAACACCCTCCCATCAGTTTAAAGGGGTGCTTCGTATTTACTACAGATGATATTCCCGAAAGAGTGCGCTGTTTACAATAGGTGTCCTGTTTTTATTATCAGCTGACCGACGGATGCATTTTATTTTGCAGCATACCGATTACCGGTGATCAGCATAATATAATATTATAACTATTATAATACCTATATTATTATTATTTATTAACGGCTGTCGACATACTTAAAATGAGTAAAAACAACAAATATTTTGTTCCTGGTTGTGATGTTGGGAATAAAAAACATAGGAAGGAACATAGGTACAGCTTTGATTCCCAATATTAATTATCCATCACTTTTTACAGCTCCTAAAAATTATGTAAATATAGAAATAGGTACTGGTTTAATCGATGCTTGCCACTCAGGTTTAGTTAACGCCCCCAACTAATATTTCTTGTATTTTCTATTATACAGCAGATAAAAAAAGGTGTGACGTATTCAGGGTTTTTCTATGATTTAAAAGAATAATATACATTTCTTAAAGCTTTTATTTTTTGAATAAAAAAAAGTTATAAATTATAAACCCATTTCATATGCTCTACGGTACACAAATATATTTAAACAAGATTTACATACCCCGTAAATTTAATCTCAATTATCCCTCTCTATCATTATAAAGACGCCACTAGATAGCAATAGTTAAATCTAAATATTAAAGTTTACTTGTTTATATTGCATTTTATGTGTCACCAACTCTGGTTTCTCGAAACGTATCAAGTTTATGTTAGCTGGAAGTTCTACTTCTTCAACTGAGTCCATTTTCATTAGCTAACTGTTATACGAACAACAAAATTAAATTAAAAGGTACTTACATACAAGATAATAAACTAATTACTAATACCATAGATATTATCGATTATATGAATAATAAATGGAAATTTGTATTAACGACTATTATTATTATTATTATTATTATTTTTTTTTTTATAGAAGTTTTTAACTACCGTGACTAATAATACGACGTGGAAATTTTTAGTACGGTAGTTGATACCTTTTTGTTTTTAAGTTATAGCAGGTATAAGTTTGGTATAGTTATTTATTTTCTGTTCAAAAAATAAGCCTCCGGTAATCAGGTTCAAACCGAGAAAGATGACTGTGCGATAAGACGTAGCTCGACCACGAAGCACTGACTTTGATTTTATTATACCTATAAACTATAATAATGTATTCAAATTACTATGAATTAATTTAGTTTTCGGGTTTTTATTTTCAGTATTGTCTATCAATGTTACCTATCAACTTGGTAAAAATATAGATATGTGTAATAATTGGTGTTGTTTTATTTACATATTAATATATATCCCCATTATGAGCAATGAGTCACAAATTGCCGTGGAATTCGCGAAAATGGTAAATCATTCTCGATTGTGTAAGTATTTAATTGCTATAATAACTTAATTATAAGGGATTTTATGGGAATTAAGTACTAACCGGCTCACACAACTTTGGGAGGTTCTTGTAAGTTACTTGATGCGCTATCACAATATACTATATGCCGTTTATTGCGCTGACTCGCGATGATGAAGAAACGGGATTCAGATGATGCAAAAGCTTATTAATATGTACAACTGTCTAAATAAATAATACAAGACGTATAATAAATTTTCATACATGTAAATAATGCACTGAATAGGCACCCAATGATAATAATAATAACAATGATAACATAATTTAAAAAAAAAAAATATATAGACAGTGATAATACAATTAATGCAAGTAATAACGATAACCTGGACGTGACGATATTCAGGCACTGAGCGTTGAGTTGACAGCTCACCAACAGGCCAACAAAGATGGTGGTTTCAGCGAAACAGCCGTTGAGAGGACACGTGAAAAGGGGCGTCTCTCAGGTGGCACAGTGGACGTCGACAACACAATAAATAAAAATGCCGGCAAAACGACAAAAATAAAAATCCAATGTATCGAAAACAAGTTGGCGGAAAACAATGCGACAATAGATCCGCGAACACAACACATACAGACGCGGAATCGAACGTCCGCAGCAATAGCAGCTCGTGAACCAAACGAGGGGTGAAGCAGATATTTTCAAGGTGTATATAAAATCTCAACCAAGATTCTTTAAAAGAACGAGAATATACCTTTTCATTTGAATACTAAATATTTAAATTATTTAATGAAATTACAGGTCGACCGTCGTTCAATATCTCACGTTTGTTATTTTGACTACGGCGGGTAAACAGTGTTTGTAGTTACTTCATAATAATGTCATTATACGGAAACATAATTGTTATAATAGTTTATTGTTATTAAATATTAATATTAATAAACTATTATAGACGACTTCGCAAATACTTTATATAATAAAAATGTATTATGTATAGTTGAAAATGATCATTATTTGATAAGAATTTATATCTTTAGTTAGTGATAAAATTATTACGGTTATGCTTACTATGTTTACTCGATACGTAGTACTTGTCATTAGTATTTGTCATTCGCACTAATACCACACGTGTAAACATGTATAAGTAGTGCTTAGCATCAGTAAAACTGTGAGTGCAAGTGAATAGAACGGTTTGGTAGAGATGAGGAAGTAAGATTAAGTTAGGTTTATGAGTAAAATATTTAAATTAAAAATTAAACTGTTTAACTTCTTCTGTGTATCTTGTCGAAGGAGCCATTTCCTCGTTCATATTCGTTTTGGTTTTTTGCCTTAATTCAGTTTCCAGTTCATCTATTAAAGCTGATATTATTATGTTTGAGTTAATACATTGTTTTATAATACTACGACGGTCCATTTCATTTAGTACCTAGTGACTGGTGTCTATATTTATTACGTATTTTATTAATAATATTCACTACAAAAATAAATTATATCTTTATGTTATCACTTATTTATTATTGAAGTGAATACTTCTCAGCGTTAAATGCCCCCCCCACCCATCACTCCTACTTACTACGTGAGAGTACCCACTGTGCAATGGAATATTTCGGCAATTTTTTTACAATATTAATTTGTAACTTGTAATGTTACATTTAAAGTGGCATTTATGTAATTGTAATGTGTATGGAACTGCTTATGTCCTGAAAAAGTAACTTCAATTGTAATATGAATACAATGCTTTATATTAACGTTCTATACACGTTACCGGTAACATTCTATGAACGTTACAAGTAATAATCTATGCACGTTACAAGTAACATGAAATTAATGTTACTAGATAACATATGCATCTTAACCAATTCTTTAATGATATTAATATTATTTTTTTTATTTAACTATAAAATATGAAAAGGAACAACACATTTATTTAATTAATCAAATTAATAATAAACCAAATGTTTTATTATACTTAAAAACATTTTTTTTCTACAAAATAATACAATTACATAAATGAGTGTTATGCTTAAAAAGTATGAATAATTAACATAAATATACAAACAATTTAACTTATATGATAATTAACATTACAAATATATGATTCATAGACCATAGTAATAACTTAATATACTTAGATATCACATTATATAATTACAGTAAACTTAATAATTAATAAAAAAACTACATTTAAAATCATACAAATATAAAAGATATGTTTACATAATAGATAAAATATATTTACTGTAAATAGATAAATATGTACCAGCTAAAATCAAATTGACACAAAATAAATTAACAATTTTAATAAATATAAATTATGAATTTATCAAACATACAATATAATATTATTATTTGAGAAAACTACTGTGGTATATCTAGATCATAACAATTCCATAATTATATTCTGTTTATCTATTGGAGTGACTTCTATAATGGTAAATATAAAAGTACAAAATAAATTGTTTTAAGTTTGCAATATCAATTTTTTAAGTGTTATATATTATTGGACCTGGTTGCGTTGTATCTAAATTAACCATAGGATTTAAATTGTACACTGAATGAATTTCATTTGGAATTAATGTACTGCTACTCTATTTTTTCAACAAAAATACATTTTTTGATAACTAATCAAATTTATAGTAAAAATTATATAAAACATGAATTATATTTTTATCAGATATTAAATATTTATAAATAGGTACTTGACCTTAATATTTAAATAGTTTAGGGTTAAATCAGGATGAATTAAAACAATTTAAACAAATAAATAACTAAAAATAATTAATTCAAAAATTCTAAGGAAATAGTATTATATAAAGGTTTTATATTTTTTTTAATTTCAAATTTGTAATCATTTATCAGTTCTTTGTTAAGATCCTAAAAATGATGTGTACTTTATTTACCTGAGGTATGTTAAAACTATAAGACTATGAAGTATTCAATGGTATATTTTCTGAACTTGTGAACGGAATTAAATTTACATTACTTAATTCAGTATACTGATGCTCAGAAACGGTATCTACAGTAGTTTGTTCTGCCATAACAGATTTTGGATCTTTAACAATCTTTTTCTGTTGAAAAAATATTGATACCTATAATTAAAAATAAAATAATAAAGTAATTATAAAAAAAAAAGTAATTAATTGATTAGGTACATTCATCACTTGAAGTGTCAGAATCTTCACGTATCATTGATGACTGGCCATATAACTTTTTGTTTTTATTTTTCATATTTAGAAGTTGCTGTTCCACTTCAGATGCTGATTCTTCAGACAATTCAACATTCCTTACCATGTTTTACTAAAATCACCTACAAATTGTTTATGTAAATATAATAAATTTAGCTTTATGTACTAGGTTCATTTTCATTAATTCTATAGATAAACTTAATATATACATACTATATTCTTTGCCATTTTCAAAAAGATTTATTCTATAAGTATTCCAATCATCTTATGGCTCCACAGCCTCTTTTAAGAAATCACTAGTTACATTAAATGTTCTAGGTGGCCATACACATTTTTTCTATTCTATTGTCATCATTATTGACAGTTTTCAAAATCCAATTGGTTGGTATGACACTAATCATTACTGTCCGGAAATGTAGTAATCACCCAACGTTTTGTGATTAGTTTCTATAACAATGTAGGAATGCAAAATTAATAAAAATAAATGAATTATGAAAGTTAATTTGAACAGGTACCTACTACCTACAAAAAAAATTTCAACAAATATGTTGAAAAATTATATAATAAATAGCTAGAAAAAAATGATCTCAGACTTACTTTTTAATTTTTAAATGACAAAAAAAGTTATAGGTACCTATATAAACATATGAACAAAATATTGACTAAAAAGCATAATAGACATAATTACCTATCTTAAAGCTGCAGGAGTCGAAAATCCACAACTTTGGTAATCCATTTCTTTCCGTAGAGACGAGTAAGTTATGAAAATATCAAACAACGTGAATAAAATATAAATACGAAAGAGAAAAACAACAAAACATGAACAATGTCGGAAAATAATAAGTGAAATAGTCACATGGGTTATGATGACTTAAGTAATATTGTAATAACTAGGTATTAACAAATATTATTTTCTCTGGCATCCGCAGCAAAGACTGACAAATGGCAATAGTCAATAAGTTACAGTGCCCACTACCCAGCTATTTCGCGCGCCGCGCTGTCTGCGGGTTCGGCTTCACCGAAATCCGAATTGGAAAAACCACTGATAGTTTTTATAATAATGGGATATAACTATTTAGGGATATTGGTAAGATTATAAATAAAGTGATAATATTATAATTGCTGAGTGCTGCTGTGTGTTAACGAGTAAACAAGATTATTTCAATACAACAGTGGTGAAATTTGGAATTGGTTTTGGGGTGGGATTGGGATATAAATTTATACTATCGTTCTAGTGGGGCTATGCCCCCTACACCCCTTTTAACCATTAAATCTCATATATCTCAATATTATATTAATTTATTATTATAAATTAAATGGTATAATGATGATTGTAAAAAATGTTAATTATTAATTATTAACTTTTTCTAACATTGTACTTACAGGTTATTCTACAGAAATCATTGATCTAATTCTTTGTTTTTCCTAGGAAAATATTCTTGTGTTATTGATTTTTAAATTTATGGATATGGGTATGCCATAATAATTACATAGAAATAAGAAATACAAAATTGTATGAAGATTTAGATTATTTCACAAAATAGTTCAACTCTATTACAAGTTTTTTGCTAGGTCGGTCTTGATCTGAATTACATTTTGACAAGCTGTTTTCTTGATCAGTTTCTTTAAATTTTTTTGAAAAAAAGAAATAAAAGCATTCGACTGCCTTTTCATTTTTAATTTAATAATTGAATATGTAATTTAGTAATATATTAAATTTACATTATCGCACAATAGACACATATCCATAGTTAAAGAAAAATAATATTATTTTATTTCTCGTTTTACTATATATAATATAAATAATAATAGACATTGGTGTTGTACTTTTGCTGATCGTTTACAGTTTTATAATATTTCAAAATAGTTAATACTAGTGTTGCCAGTTATAATTTTTTTAAAAAGCTATGAGTACTATCACAAAAGGCCGGAAATCAGCTGAAAAAAAAATCGATTAATAACAAACATATTAACGCAAAAATAAAAATATTAATACTATTAAAATTGTTGGCAATTTCCATTTTTTTCTTTAGTAAAGCTATTAATCTTTTTATCATATTTTACAAGTAAATAATATTATTAGGACATTAAATATAATAAAGATATAAATAATAATATAATAAAGATATTAAATAATCATAATTCATAGTTTATTAAATTTTAATGTTCTGAGCAGTCCAACATTAAAACAACAAACAAGGAAATAAAATAATAAGTAATAAAAATAACAAAACAAAATAGGTAATACTTAAAAAATGTTAAAATAGTGAATTAAAGTCTTTTTAATCACGAATCTACAATCGTGAGACGAACTAAGAATTACTAGTCCGAGGTGTAAAGTGATAACTATTAACTAGATATGAATATAAATCTTATTCGTAGTTAACAATCACCACAGATAAATATAATTTGTTATGATAACAACCATAAATATGGTTTATCATATGGAATGATAACGAAGGGAAAAACTCATGATATCAATATCGTTGTGTAATATTATACTTATATACACAAACAATTAATTAAAATATATTACATATAACTTAAATCAGAATTAAGCTAGTTAAAAACAATTAATGGCTAGAAAAAAAGCTAAGAACAAGATTGTGTATTTTTTCAGTCAGATTGAAATGAAAAAGGCCAGATTTAGCCTTAAAAAGGTCAGATTTGGACTTAAAAAGGCCAATATGGCATCACTAGTTAATACCTTATACCACTGAATAAAATAATATAATGATACATTGTTTGTCGACGTCGTCGAAAGCAATTTTCTAGGAAAATAAACCAAGTAATACTATAATGCTATAAATAGTCGAAAATAAGACCCAATATATATAGTTATTATAGTAATATGTCAAGCACTGTGCTCATTCCATTAATATTAATGATTATAATAAGAACTTTTAGATTATATAATAAATAATTGATAAATAACTAACATTAATATTTGTTTTAGAAAAAATTTCAATGTTTCACGTTTTTGTAAAATATTGCATGCTTTAAGCACTAAAAAGAGTAGTAAATTGTAGATTTGTCAGTGTTATATTTTAACTCTGAGCTATACAATTTTCTTGTCTTATATTATAATTGTTGAACTATCGTAGTTTTATATTAGTAAAATAAAAAAAATCTCAACTATGATAATATCCATGTATTCTTATTTCTTATGTTAAAATCTTTTAAAGCTTAGTGCTTACGGAAATTTAATTATAATTATTCTAAAAAAAAAAGCGTCTGGGAGGAATATATCCCTATATCCCCCCCAAAATTACGCCACTGCAATACAACAATAATTGAACATTGAATAAATATTATTTTGTAACAATACATAAATGTTAAACTTTTAACATTTCAATAACGTTACTTGATGATATATTAAATATTATTTTCGGTGGCGCCGAAGTACAAAATTACATGTATGGCATTGATCTCCGACCACCACCCACCCACCCCCACCACAACACACACAATCACATAACCCACTTATTAAATTTGAAACCTGTCAAACAATTTTCCACCCACTTTTATTTTTGATTAACTCTCTTTTCTTTTCCAACTAATTCGTATGTAAATATTAATATAAATATAAAATATATAATAATAATATTAATAATAATATATAATATATAATATAATATAATATAATAATATATAATATATAATAATTATATTTAATTACCTGCCAATTGCTATGATACCTACAATAAAATAAAAAAATACAAACAAAATGTCAAAACGCAACCTTTTATATTATATTATATACAATATTAATAATAATTATGTTCTTTCATAACAATATTATCATAAGTATTAAATATTTATTAATAAATCAAACATTTAGTTAGAACACTACTTTTAGCTGCAAATAACAAAATTACATTTTCATTATTAATAATTATATCTTGCTCACATGATATTTTCATTAAACTATCGAGACGATCTTGTAACATAGTTGTTCTTAACTTTGTTTTTATAAGTTTTAATTTAGAAAACGTTCGCTCTACGCTACAGCTTGTTACAGGTAATGTGATGGATAATTTTAAAACTAAATATAAATTTGGAAAAATATTAGCTAATTTAGCCAAACAAAATAATTTAAATAATTCCCTCGTACTTGCTATGTTATGATAAACAACTTTTGCAGAATCTTCTTCCGCATTATCATAACTATATGCGTTTAACTCTAGCGAATCTTCATAATCTTCGACTATTAAATTTTAGTTAAGATACTTAGGAAGTAAAATACTGTTTACTATTTCAGTAAAATTTTTTCAAAATTCAATATATTCTGTCAATAATGAGTTTTTATCGATTTGTGAGTACATGGTACACAAAGCGTCAAAGGCATCCCAAGGTACAATGTGTGGATTATTTTGAACTTCTCGAATACGTCTAAATGAAAGAAGGGATTAGTCTTTTAGAGGTCCTATATTGGTGCTTTCAAAACGTCCACTTAACTCTGCTAAAAGAATATCCATTATGACATTGTATGTATCAATTCTAAATTTTTTCATGGGGCATGATATAATTTCATCCTGACAATGTTCACCTGAAATTAATATTACATTTTGAAATTTAGAACAATCATACTTTCTTAATAAATTAAATTAATAATTGATATTTATTTTGAAAAATATATACACCTGATTTTCTTGGAATACGTTTGGATCGACTAGATACAAGAGGTAAAAAGTCAACAATACTATTTTCAGCAAACTCATCAGTCTTTTTTATTAATCTTTTAAACGAATCATCATTTCTAAGTTCTTTGATTTGATGAATCACATTATTTAAAATATTTGTGGCCATAAGCATATCCATATCTTGGGACTGCAATATGCTTAACATTCTTACAGCTATAATAAATTATCTTATTTGAAATTAAATATCTTCGGCAATAGCTTCAATCAACTGATTTTGTCTTTGCCATGAAATAAAAGATGTTTCACGTTTTCCATTTTGTTGAATACAGTTAATGTATTCCGCTAATGGTCCGGAATTTTTAGACATTAACATAACCAAGTTCTTAAAATTACCTCAAGAATTTGAAGACCAATCCTCATAATGCCCACGAAATGCCAGGTTATGACGTCCCATGTATATTACAATGTCTATAAGCTCTAATAAAACTTGTCTATTCATTGCTATCTGAGTTTTTCTATTATTTTCAATTGAAGGCAAAATTGGCACATTGTTTTGACGTAACTTACATTTTAAAGATGATGTTACATGATCTGGAGTTAATTCATGTCTTTGAATAGCAAATGAACAATTTTTCCATTTATTAAACCCTTCTTTGGTCCAAGATTTTTCTAAATTACTATGCAAATTGGTTCCAAAAAGCATGCAATGAATACAAAATATTTTATTTCTGCTTAATGAATAAGACAACCAATCACGATGGCATTTTGATTTATCAGACAAAATTCTGTAATAAAGTTTATCATTAAAACTTCTTTTTATCTTTTCATTGTTAATTTCATATGGAAATATTTTATTAGGTAAATCATCTTGTAACGGTTGACAAGGGCCAAATTTTAAGATGTAATCTTTAATTTCCGGTGACAAAATAGACATTTTAGCAAAAATTGCTGGACAATTTTTAATTATATCCATATCCATATCATTTAAAATAAAAGTTGACAGTTCAAAAATTATGCTAAGTAAATAGACTCATGGTAACATATAAATTTTATTTAGAACTTTTTAATCCAATGAACTATCAAATAAAATTAAATATCAATATTAAGAACACAATACACATATTATAATGATTTACCTATTATACAACTGATAATAAACATGTTGATTATGTTCGCAATAAGTCATTTATGAAAATAGGTCTTTTAAAGCCCATATGTATAGGTTTCTACGATAGCTCAGCATTAAAAACTTTATATTTCTCATTAGTTAGATCTCAAATAAAATATGCTACATTAATATGGTTAGGTTATGGCACACTGACAATATTAGACAATATACATGCATTTCCTTAATTCAAAATAATTTTTTAAGATATCTGTCATATAATTGTAATATGAAAAGAACCCCTTAGTCAGGAATCAGGATATAATACAATTGGTAATTTATTTAAAATTGATTCTTTAAAAAACATAAAATAGCATTAAATTTAAGATTTTTATTCAAATTATTGCAAAAGATGACTTATTGTGTAGAACTTCTTGAAGAATTAAAATTTAAGGTAAATACAATTAACTCCAGAAATAAACCTACATTTTATCTGTCAAATTTTAAAACTAAATATTTGTCACATAGCCCTGCTAAAATTTTAATGTCTGCAGGTTACAATGTATTACATTTTGATTTGTTTCCATAGATACCTACTACTTCTGATAAACTTTTCTTTTTTTTTTTTTTAGTGTTATTTAAATAATATTTACTAAATTAATTATTAGTTTTAATTGAATTGTATTTTCTTATCTTATTATTATAAATTATTATACCTATGTTTTTTTTCTTTTAGCTAAATACATATGGTTTATAGATACCCCCTACATAATATTTGTTATACCTTTAAAAAATGGAAAAAAACATGTTATTTCGCTGTTCGTATATCACTATTACTTTATCTTATGGATTATTATTTATATTATTATTATTATAGGCAAAGGTACTAAAAACTAAATATTTAAAATATATAAATAGGTGCATAAAAAATGACAAATAATTTAAGTACATACCTTTATTTTGCAAACATGAGCTTATCTCAGTATCTTTTTGAATTTCACATTTAACCAATGATTCTTTATTAACTGGGGTACTTTGGTCTTCATTTAAATCATTGTTCACATCAAAAATAGCTGAAAATTTGTACCTATTCAATTAAAACTAGTTGTAGTTGTATATTCAATAAGGATATTAATCATCAAACAGTTATGAGTTATATAGGTACATATTCACAATTAAGTATATAAATACTTAAAAAAAATTCGTTTAATATGGATAGGCACATACCTTTATTTTGCAATCATGAGTTTATCTCAAAACTAGTTGTATATCCAATAAGGTAATTGATTATCAAAAAACTATGTGAGCATGTAATATGTACAAATTATCATTTGTTAATGCATAAGTAGGTACAAAAATGTAAGTACATAAAATAAAATAATATATAAAATCAATCATCAGAAAAATCTTTTTTAACTAACATATTTTTTTTTTACATAAAGCATTTTTTTACTTTTCTATATTCCAAATTAACAGTAGTGGGATAAATTAATGTAATTATCAGGGCTAGGATTTGTATGAAATAAAAAATTGTAAAATATGCATTTTATTTACCAAAATATGCAAAAATATGGATTTAAATTTTTATAAGATAAATACAAGAATATAGTTATAAAAAAAAATATTTATTGAAATACATCAGTGGTTGGTTGTTTGTCTTAATATAATATAATAGAGAAATAAAATAAAATAATTCAAAATAAAATTTATGTTTGATAAAAAAATCAAGTTTTATACTTTTATCAGCAGGGCTAGAATTAAATACAAAATATACTATAATACATTCATTTTTTGCATTCATATAATTGAAATGTGCAATAATATCCATTTTATCCAAAATATGCAAAAACATGCAAAATAAAAACACCACCATTTATCTCATCATGAGGTGATTCGTGGACATTATTGACAAAATCAATATTCAGAAGTCGCAAAAAAATCATGCTGTGCATACATATCCTAACCCTGGTAATAACTAATAGGACATAGCCACATAAGTAGGTTATAGTACAATAAGTTGGTAGTACAGAACTTATAAGTAAAAACTAATCATATTAAATATTATAATTAAGATTAGTATTAATTATTTAAAATAATTCATATTTATTATATATCTGTATTTTTATTTTAAAACAAAATAAAACATTTAAATAAATGATGTAGGTACTTACTATTTTTTACAGCAGTAATTTGGTGAATCAATTTGCTTTTTTTACTCTTGTTTCCAGAAAAAAACGATTTTATATCATGAGAGTTTCTTTTAAATTTTCGTACTTTACATGAGTTAATATGTCTATTCCAATTTTTATCGTTCATTGATGAACTTAATTTCCCGCAATCACATTTACAAACAGAACTCATAGTTTTTGGTATTAAATAAATTACTTTATAAGGTTGATTTGTACTTAATATTCTTAGACAATTATAATTTTTAACTTTAAATAGTAGTGGTTAAAAATTAAAAATTCTTAAAAGTTAAATAATAAAACCAATTAAATAATATAAATATATGTAACGGTCTTTTTGAAATATAGCTGGCTTATTAGTTATTACACTAAACTGAAGGTACAGTTCATTTTCAACGATAGTGTATCATAATTTACAGGAATTTTTAGTTATTTATAAACACTATAATGGACTAAATGTTGCATTTTTGATAACATAATAGACGCTAATAATCATAGAAAAGAGATTAGATTATTATTAGAGATTATTATGCTAATAATGTAATATACGTATGGTAGTGGAGTTAGTGGTCGCTAGTCGGCGAATGTCTATTTTGGTTGATGGTTTTTATTTTTATTTTTGTTCTGTCCAAAATGCGCCATTAGTTGTTACTGTTCTTACTAATCAGTAATGATCGTATTATTATGAACTATTTGGTGTTAATTGATCAACGAAATAATGTATATGTAATACCAAATACTCGCAGTGGGCAATATACTTAATAATTTGTGATCCTATTTCTATTAATTGTCATCATTTTATTTTCCTCTGAAGCCCCCCCCCCCCCCCCACAAATGTTTATATATATGGCAGCTGCTATACATAAACATGGACTTCGGCACCACTGATTATTTTTATGGAACAAATTATACGACATTGCAATATTTTTACTTAGTAACATTTTATTGTGATCGAAACTTAACATAGCAGCAACATTTTGTAACTTAGATTGCACAGTGGGTAGAGTGTGGAACGGTATATCGTGGTATAATTGACCTTGACGTGCGGTCTGATTGGTGTATGCGCGGGCACGGGCAGATAGATATCATTATAGATATTTGTATTTAATAATTAAATTTGTAGACGTTGGAATTTCTGTAGTGTGACTAGATAAGAAAAGTTGATTCTTGTAGTGTGATCACACTAATTTTTGTATTATTGATAATAAATAGTTATGCTGTAAAGTGTAAAAGTTTTGCTATTAATATCTCCACAGACTACATAGATAAAATGATACCGCCATAAAAACCCGCTTATAATTATATTGTGGTGTCCACAGTTTATACATAATTAATATAAACTATATATTTTATTGTAATAGTTACGTCCTTATGCAGTTTTTGAAGGAAGTTGAACTAAATATATAATGTTATAATCGTATATATCTCTTCTCAAAAGAGAACATACCGCTTTCACGCATGTAGACTGACGGCTGTCAACCGTGCCGAGGCCAATTTCTCCCACTTTCATTGAAACGAGACATCGATCACACATGACGGTCGCCGATCAAAGTTTGCCGACGAGTATACACCTAATTCAAAAAACTTATTTACAATTAATAGATATCTGACAGGCGCAGCGGCGTAGCATGTACAGTTATATAGGGATGCACCGGGTGTATAGCAGGCGCGCTCGTCGTGACCGGCGTTGCTTAGATAGGAGCTTTCGACAACTGGTGGGGGATGCGCGCCGCCGAACCAAAACCAGTCGCGCAAGCAGTATGTTCTCTTTTGAAAAGAGGTATAGTATAGACCCGTGGTTCTCAAACAGTGTGTCGCGACATACTAGTGTGTCACGTATTTCTTTGGAGTGTGTCGCCAAAATATTATTGATTAAAATTATAAGCTTTCAAAATATGAACGTATATTATTACGGAATTATAATGAAATAATAAAAGCCGCATATAAAAAAAAATTATAATGATATTCTTATTGATTCTTATTTTTTAGAAATATCATAAAATATAACGTTAAAATCTAAATTTTTTTGTTTCTCAAAATGATTCATTTTGAATTTCTCTGTAAATTCAATACACAGGAATAATAAGAATTGAAAACTTCGTTTTATTTTCAACATCGTACATGTCTGAATCAGCATATTTGATATTGGAAATAACAAAAAGCAAAAAAGATAATGACAGTAAATTATACGAAAGTTTGTTAACCATTTGCCCATGAATTGAAGACCTATGTAGGCCTGCATATTTATGAACTAATACGGTTTTTCATAAAACTTTCTTTAAACTTTTTAATTTCAATCAAGAAATTAAGAATTTTTTTTAAGTTTTAAATTTTTAAATAAAATTTCCAATAATAATAAAATCCACTAATTGTTTCAAGTGTGTCGCCATTTTTATAGATCTAAATTAGGGTGTCGTCATACAAAAAAGATTGAGAACCACTGGTATAGACGATTATAACCTAACCTATATATTGTATTTAGCATTATATATTATAAAGTATTGTTATAAAACAAATTCCAGTTGCCTCAATTTTTTGGCCAGCTCCTCTATCACTTCATCAACAGTAATTTCAACTTTCCTGTAGACAATTCTACAAATATGTAAGAATTTTAGTTTATTTTTTATTTTTTTGGAGAGGTCCTAGAGGGGAGTCTAGTACCCCTGGACCCTCCTCCCCATAAATACGCCACTGCTTAGAGTATAATATTAAATAATTTAAAATAATAATTAATAATACAAATTTATTTGAAGTACTAACATTGATTTTGGGGAAAAATTAAGAATGTCAATTGAAAATACCGCTGTGCGGTGGCGGTAAAATCGAGCATGCTGTGGTTTTTATAAATATCGCACAGCAATATTTTACCGCGGCCGAATTACCGCTGCAGTGTGCGGACTTCTGTTACAATACGTGTGTACAATTTTATCGCCAACGCCACCACCACCACCACCGCGGCAAAGTGTGGGGACTTTAATACGGGTTACGATACTAATTGAACGGCCAGGACTGCGAGCAGCACATATTGGTGAAGAATATTTTGTTACTTACCGTAAAACATAGTTACAAGTCGTTCTTTGTGAATATGTTTTACATGGACTACATTCAAAATAATTAGAAAAATGTTCATACTTCATTAAGGAGAATCAAACCAGATTCAAGTTTATTGGAAAGAGTTGTACTTTATCTTATTTGCCGGGTAGTGAGTATGTTGCCATTTAGATCAAGCTCTGCGTTTTTCAGCAATAAGTTGCCTTAATTATAGTGATAGATTGAGTGTTCGAGAATATTGTGGACTCTGGGTAGATGAGTCTATGGTTGCTTTTTGAATGCCATCAGAGAGTTTGACAGTTGCTTGGTTGACATCAGTAGAAGATTTTAATTTTATATTAGCTTCGTTTTAATAAGTATTAATAATAAATTATATAACAATTAATAAGTTTTGTTTGAGATTATATCCTTGAATCTGTTCCAGTTTGTAGTACCCGGAGTAATGGTTGGTCTATTTTTCTTCAAAGAGGCATGAGCTTCGATTAGTAGAAAGACAGGTGTATAATCAGAAGCTGGGTAATTTAGACTTATAATTTCAGTGGAAAAGCGATTTGGAGAATTGGTGATAAAGAAGTCAAAAGTGTCGGGATAACGGTTGCCATGTGAGGGTATCAGAAACAATGTTGCCGTCCATTTGATTAATTAATGTGTTAGATGTATAATAAGCGGTGGTGAAATAATTTTAATGGTTGAATTTTTATTTATTAGTGATTTGAGGATTTTGGTGATAGGCGTTGATGGATAATTAGATTTCATAATTTCATAATTATGTAGATAATTATAATATAGATATTTATATAGGTAATTTATAGGTTGGCTTTGTGGAATGTTTTAATGTAATTTATGTCTTATTCTGAAACAATTTAGTATGATTTCTTGTCTTCTGAAACTATTTAAGGAAGGAGGCCATGGCAGAAATGACTGTTTAATTTCATTGAGTTTAGTAGTCCGTTTTGACCAATAATGTTGCTACTTTAGAGGTATGATATACTTTTTTTTTGCATCGGAATAGGAGAAGCCCATTAGTGAAACCCAAAAGCTCATTATAGTGAGACTTTTAGGCGAGTTATGTGAAAGTTTTGCGGCCTCCACTAGCTTTTACGTTGCCTACTATGTCCGGGTATCTACATTAGGATGACCATGTGAAGAAAATAAAAAAACGTGACAGCTGTCATTTCTCCCCCACCCCAAAATAAAAAACCCTCATCCATATACATTCTTACATATTCACACAAATCTCGAGAGTTAAAGTCTAAATTTGTGTCATATCAACAAATTATTTTCTTTTTTATTTACCCTTTTTTCAGTAAAATAACCTAGACAATAAAATATTTTCTTTTAATTATTCATCAAACAACACAATGTAGCATTTCGAAACTATTATATTTTTTAAATAATATGGAAATAACGGGATTAAAACGGGACAATCTTCTAAAAACGGGACAAAAAGCGTCACATTCGAATTTTGTCGGGACAACGGGACGTTATGATCAAAAAAGGGACAATCCCGTTATAAACGCGACGTCTGGTCACCCTAATCTACATAAATGATATGTGTTTACCAACATATCCTGCAAAGTGACAGGAGTTTTGAATGTTCCTTGCTATATCTGTAGGTGTGTATGTTTTGTAAACTTGATAGTGCGCCTAGGGAATTGGATAGTATGATAAAACGTTTGGTCGTCACCTGATTGAATAAAATATTTAACTGCTTCAAGTATGACTATAAATTCGGTTGTATATATTGAACATTTATCTGATAGTTTAAGTTGAATTACAGTTTCGCCACATATGATAGCTGCTCCTACTCTTTGGTCAATTATCGATGCGTCTGTGTAAATTTGTGTATGTGGTTGAGAGCTTGGGCTATTATTTCTTTAAAATAATAGTTGTACACGTTGGGATTCGTATCCTTTTTTGGGAGTTGGTAAAGTTTAAGGTTAATATCTAGAGAGATGGACCATGGTGATTGAATACTAAGTGCTAAAGGTATAATCTGATCTAGTTCGAATATATCCTGTTTGTTTTAAAAGATTGTTTTAGGGGAATAGAAGATTTCTTGTGGGATTCTGGCTGCTAAGAGTGATTTCCGTTCTGCCCATCTCAATGTAAAAAAGGATTCACAAGTAATGTTACATATGCTGTCTATGGGGCTGGATCAGAAGGCCCCTATTAACAGTCACAAATCTGAATTATGGAT